CAGAGGGAGTAGGTGTAGTAGTGAAATGAAGATGATGTAATCAGTCCATCAGCCTTGGAGAAAAAGTATTTGAGGTGGTCAGTCCCTCAGCCTGAAGAAGAGTTCAGCTTCATGGTCTGGAACAATATGAAGCTGGAGTATGAGAACGGAGTCTTAAATACTGTCGAAGATCAGGTGGAAGATCTCGAAGATAATGATGGGAACGGGATTCACGTTCTTACGTGAACTGATGTCGTTATTTCGATTCAATTGTGTGTCGTTGATGTAGATTAGAAGTCGTAAGGGATCCAGCACTGACCCCTGCGGAACGTCACTTGTCCCCATTCTGATTTTATCTCATATATGCAGACTGTTGTGCAAGAATGGTATATAATACCGACAAGATGAAATTAAGATACATGTGCAACATCTGGGTATCTTTATTGTAGACGTTTCGCCATCCAGTGGCTTTATCAATACAAATTCTAGGACATAACTTGAAGACCGTAGAACTGTGTACAGAAGATTAGGTAATCAGTCCCTCAACCTAGAAGTAGATGCGAAGAGCATCGTAGTCGTGGAGATTCTGAAGCAGAAGTAAGGCGCCTGACGCTTATATACTAACGTCAGGTGGAAATGGGACGGGTAGCAGACGGGGGCATAGTCACTGGTAGGTGGGATTCCCCAGTGGAAGTAGGTCCTTCCCAGAGAGATGGGTTAGTTGTAGTAGTAGTTGTCGTAGTCGTGAAGGACATGTCCTTCACGACTACGGTGCTTTCCGCACCTACTCCTAGGTTGAGGGACTGATTACCTCATCTTCTGTACATAGTTCTACTGTCTTCAAGTTATATCCTGGAATTTGTATTGATAAAGCCACTGGATGGCGAAACGTCTACAATAAAGATACCCAGATGTTGCACATGTGTCTTAATTTCATGCAGACTGTTGTTGAAAATTAAACACATGTGCAACATCTGGGCATCTTTAATGTAGACGTTTCGCCATCCAGTGGCTTTATCAGTACAATTTTTAGGACATAATTTGAAGACAGAACTATGTACAAAGGATGAGGTAATCAGTCCCTCAGCCTTGGAGTTGGTGTGAAGAGCACCATAGTCGTGAAGAATCTGGAGCACAGGCAAGAAGGCTGGCGCTTATATACTGACGTCAGGTGAAAAGGAGATGGGTAGCAGACGAAGGCATTGTCACTGATAGGCAGGATTCCCCAGTGAAGTAGGTCATACCCAAAGGATGGGTTAGCAAAAGTAAATAGGTTGTGGAGACGTCCTCCGAGCCAAGGCTCCTTGATGTTGCAGTGACTGACGAGCTGTACAAGAATGGTATACAATACCGACAAAATAAAAATTACGTATATAGTTCTATTGTCTTGAAATTATGCCCTTGAATTTGTACTGATAAAGCCTCTGGAGGGCGAAACGTCTACAATAAATATACCCAGATGTTGCACATGTGTCTAATTCTCATATGTTGTATACCATTCATGTACAACTTGTCAGACACTGCAACATCATGTGATCAAAGTCACACCATTCCTTTCTTGGAGCGAAGCTGAATAATTTCTATTCTCCCAGGCGCTGTATGAGCCCCTTCCCTACGGGTTTAGCGCTTCACCTAGGAATGTAACAGTAGTTTTGGCTCGTCCTAAAGATACGTAACGCTGTATTTTTGCTTTCGGTTAAGAGGATGTGAACTTTGGAAAGAAGATAACAGTGTATTTACACCCTCTTCGGTGTCCCGTCGCCCGGTTGGTAGCGCATTCAGCTCACACATTGATGTCCGTGGTTCGATTGCCGGTACGGAACGAAACATTTGGGCTTGTTTCCTTAAGACACCTGCTGTAAATAGGTACCTGGGTATTAGTCGACTGATGTGGATCACATCCTGAGGACAAGATTAACCTAATTTTCCAGAAATGCTCTGCATAACCAGGAACTTTCTATATAGTATGTCATTGATTTCAACTATGGTCTGTATAAGTTGTATCATGTTGAAAAAAAGATTATTATTATTTTTATTATTATTATTATTCATAAGTGATTATTACAATGATATATATTAAAGTTTTAGATTATCAAGTGATGAATGACCAAGGTGTTTATAAAACTGTATACTTCAGCAAAACCACTGACATATAAAGGTAGAAAACTGATTGTGGTCCTGGAGATTACTATGTCCGTAAAGGACCGAAAGTTGTCTAAGTAAATTGTCGCGCACGTTTTGCTCTGACGTTCTCTTGTTTAAAGAATCCCAGCGTCTTTACAAGGGTAGAAAGACTCGGAAAATGTAGCTGGCCTTGTTTAACTATGTTGGGTAAAAGGACACAAGTGCTAATGCGACATTTTATTGGGGCAACGTTTCGCTCTCCAGGAGCTTTCTCAGTTCAGTACATTTAAAGAATCCCAGCGTCTTTACAAGGGTAGAAAGACTCGGAAAATGTCGCAACATTTTACTACCCGCTTAAAATCAATACAACACTTAAACTACCGGGAATGCCACAGAGCGCTCTGAATGCACTGTTCTGGAAGGAGAAGAAACAGGGAGACAAACCCGATAATGTTTACATGGAAAACACTTTGAGAGTGAGGTCTCTAATCTGCACACCACCGTCACAACTTACTGAATGGAATAATGAACTTGCTAGAGAGCATAGAAGGGAAGGGAAGGGCTACAGGCATGTTTGGAACCTCTCAGGGTATAGATCCTTTTAAACCAACCACAGGTGTGGTTATATGGCACTTGTAAGATATGCTCTGCCACGTCCTTCAAGAAACTGTGACTGGTATTCTTTTTAAGATTGATGGACTGATTACATCAACTCAAGGCTGAGGGACTGATTACATCAAACTCCTGTTCTTCACCATTCTCCTTTGTATGGACTGATGAAGCCACTGTGTGGCGAAACGTTTCCTCATTAAATATACCCAAGTGTTGCACATGTATCTAATTTATCAACTTGTCGGTTCTCTGAACTGGAACCAGCCTGGTTGATCAATCCTGATTCACCAGGAGACCTGGACATGCACCGGGTCGCGGGGGCGTTGATCCCCGGAATACCCTCCAGGTAGACTCCAGGTAGACACACACACACACATGCACACATTATCTCACTTATTCTCTCTGTCTTTCACCCTCTCTCACTCATCTCTCTCTCTCTCTCTCTCTCTCTCTCTCTCTCGTGGCAACAGTACAGATTTATCCTAACATACATCTCCACATCTCTTCCTTCTTCTGTTACTCTCCTCTCTGGAATACTTGTACTGTGTTGTTATCCTAGCAGCATGTCCACTCTTCCATTTTTAACCCGTCTTGTAATACTTTACCTATGTGTCAGAAATATCGAATTCATTCCATTTATGTTTTACCATTCTGTATTTATATAAATACTGGAATTCCATGGAACTAAATATCAATTCATTCCTTGTTTTGGTATTATCTACAATTCTGCTTATTTATATAATACTATTCATGTTTATATTACTTCTGTGATTTCTTGTTTTGTTTACTTATTTGTTGTCTAGTATAAATATTGTTGGGTTGTGCTTATATGCGCCCATTATCTTAGTCTGGTAGAATATTATGTATCCCTGGACTGACTTACATAACACAGGTGTTCCTGGAACATACAGCCCATCCCTCGACTATACTGGTTATATGTGCCAAGGAATATGTCCCAGCTGTCACTGAATGGTGTTATTCTTTACTCGCAAAATCTCTCTCTCTCTCTCTCTCTCTCTCTCTCTCTCTCTCTCTCTCAGAAGCGCCCCTTGCAAGGGGGTTCCTGAGATCGTTTTGGACAACGTTGCAAGGCTCCTGATGTTGTTGTTTATTGCAATCACGAAAGGCCCAGAGCTATCATTGAACGCCCATATATCATATATATATATATATATATATATTATATATATATATATATATATATATATATATATATATATATATATATATATATATATATATATATATATATATTAAAGTTTATGGTATTCCTCTGTACCCTGTGGCTTCACCTCCTGTTTCGACTCCCACTATCCTTGTGGGTACCCCATCCCTACCCTACCAATATGCCCTTGTGTGTCTGCCCCTCTACCCTTCCCTCCTACCCCCTAAACATCCGTCAGACCGCCACATCCCCCCCCCCTCTCAGTCGTACAGCGTACTATATAGTAATTATACTCGTGTATATAACCCCTCACATCACCACCTCTCCGTTGCTAGTCTAAACATTTATACACACCGCAAGTTATGCACACTCTCTAAATTGACGGCGATTTGAAACTTTTGGCGAAAGTAACGCAAAATAAGCGAAAAAACGTAAAAAAAGTCGAGATGGCAAGAGTTAGGTCTTGTCGGTGAGACCAAAGGAAGAGGCAGGGCGGCGTTTGGTCATTTGGTTGTTGCAAGATTTCCACCCTCGCCGCTTTGAGAACTCTTCTGAGTCATCGCTGGCCTTGCTGTCAAATATTTTAAGCATTTGGCTTGTCTCTCTACGTTCCTGTTTCTTTGTGGTTTTGTTTATCGTATTTTTTCTGGTACGACAATGTAACTATTATCGTTTGATGTTTTGCGTGATGGTTGTAAGTGGTGGTTCTGGTTACATGGGAGAATTCCACGTAGCTCAAGACCGCCGCGGGATTAAATACATGCTAATAAGATGAGTATTAAGCGAACTGTAAAAAGAAATAAAAAAAAAAGGTCGATGGAACAGCCATTCATTCAGGAGTGATGCGGTACGACACTTTCGGAATGTGACTCCCGGCAACCTCAGCTGAGAGGTCCATGGCATGCATAAATATATCTATCTAACGACTGTTATATGACTTCTATAGCAGCTATAACGAAATAGATAGATACCTTTAACGCCCAGGTACTGCAGGGCAGAGCGGGGAAACATAGAAATATTGAATTAGCAATAAAAGAAGGAAAGTAAATTAGAAGTGGGCAACTGAGAGAGGAGAGAGAGAGGGAGAGAGAGTGTAAAATCTCCAGTATTGAGGTGACTGTGGGAGGGAGTGTGCGCACGGATGCTCTCTTATACCTGTGGCACTGGCTTTGCAACCTCAGTACGTGCAACATTGTCAGAGGAGCAACATTGCACTCCCGTCACTTGAAGTATTCTTCCCAGTGTTGCAATGTATACCTTTGACCTTCACACTGGAAATGTGATTAGCAAATCCCCTTTTCTCAGAGTTTACACGTAACCCCCAAACAAATTCAACGCTACGGAAAAACTTTCGTGTGTTTTAGACGAAATTTAAAAACTTGTGAAGGGGCGAGAAAGTCAAGAATACTCGTTTATCTGGGGGGGGAGGGGCTATCTGCGGCGGCAAGATCAAAGACAGCAGCGTAGATAAGCTATCATCTGTATATTGCCGACATAAACCCCCCCCTGCCACCTCGACACTAACATTACCAGCGTTGAACTAACGTCAGGTTGCTATTTACTGACTCTGGGGGGGGAGGGGGAATGGTTGAACTATGATTTAACTCCTGGAGAAAAAGTTAAATTAGCGTTGAGCGTCTTGAGGAAGAGTTAGAACTTGGATTCAACGCCGTAAGGAAGATTTAAACTTGGATTCAACGCCGTAAGGAAGATTTAAACTTGGATTCAACGTCCCTTAACGAAGATTTAAACTTGGATTCAATGCCGTAAGGAAGATTTAAACTTGGATTCAACGCCTTAAGGAAGATTTAAACTTGGATTTATCGACTTAAGGAAGATTTAAACTTGGATTCAACGCCTTAAGGAAGATTTAAACTTTGATTCATCGCCGTAAGGAAGATTTAAACTTGGATTCATCGGCTTAAGGAAGATTTAAACTTGGATTCAACGCCTTAAGATTTAAACTTGGATTCAACGCCTTAAGGAAGAGTTAATTAGAATTCAACGTCTTAAGAGTTTATTAGCATTCAGCTCCTTAAGGAAGTTAATTAGGATTAAACGTCTTAAGGAAGAGTTAAACTCGGATTCAACACCTTAATTAAGGAAGGGTTAAACAAGGATTTACTCCCTTTGATGAGGCTAAGCGGAGAACTTTGCGAGGAAAAAGTTCAACCGTGGTTTTTAGAAAAGTTCCTCTGAAGTCGTGGGCTTGAAATGTGTTCATAAGATATGTTTTAAACAGCTCTTTGGAATTAAGTAGCGAGAAAGTGCTGTCAGAAAAATACCTTTACGTAACAGTTTAACGAAAATCAGTGATTTAGAATTTACCAAGTCTTGGATGGGAATTCAATGAACTGAGAAAGTCTACGGGGTTTTGAAGTCAGGTTTCAACAGGTGAAGTTAAACTCTGAACTTAGCTGTCAGAAGAAGCCCACAGCTGTTCTTAAGATGCTGTAGGCTCGGCACATCCCACGTCATGGCCAACTCCTTTGTTAAATGGTGTAGGGCCAAGTTTTTCAACGGTTACAAGCACATCAATGGTGAGATATTGCAAGTGTTTGTTAATAGGGATAATTCTGTTCTAACCCTGAGGTTACCCACTCAGGATAACCCAGTAGACGTCCATGTGTCATCAGGGACTATTGTAACTCGTATGTTATTACTCTTTGATATACTCTATAAGCATTAATGTTACTGTAAATTGTCGCAGTGGTGAGTTATATATGGTTGAACACAGGTGAGTTAACATAAGAAAGAAGGAACACTGCAGCAGGCCTCTTGGCCCATGCAAAGCAGGTCCATGTGTGTGTGTGTGTGTGTGTGTGTGTGTGTGTGTGTACACACCTAGTGGTTGCAGGGGTCGAATCATAGCTCCTGACCCCGCCTCTTCACTGGCCGCTACTGGTCGCTATGTATGTGTGTGTGCGTGTGTTTGTATTTGTTTACACATTTCTGTTCAACTTTCTCTTTGACCTTAAAAAAAAAAAAATACTACTAAGCTACGCGTTTTTTGTTCAGTTTTTCTCCTTGTACTCTACTATTTTCTTGACGGTTATGCTATATGTGTCCTTTTTTTTTAAGACGTAAACAAGGCGCGAGTTAGTGGATATTTTATGCAGTTATAATTATCTTCACCCCCGTGTGTGCATGTATATATTAAATTTATACTTTTGACACATTTAGGCTGTGGAAATATATTAGTATTTATCTGTGTGTATGCACCAGGTGTGTGTATATATGCCGTGTATCTTAATGTACATATGTAATGTATACCGAGAAGTATGTATTTATCACTTTGAGAGGTATATACTGTTTATACATACCCAGAAGTGTAAGGACCTCTTGTGTGTATACACTTGAGAGAGAGGTGTATGCTGTTTATACATACCCAGAAGTGTGGGGTCCTATTGTGTGTGTATACATTTGAGAGAGAGGTGTATACTGTCTATACATACCCAGAAGTGTGGGGACCTCTTGTGCGTATATATTTGAGAGTTCAATATTTATTTTAGGAATTAAAATATTCTTGATTGTTATAAGTGTACAGTATTAGTTAAGCTGTCTCACTTAGATGTGTTGAACATAAACGACAGCGGCTTATCCAAGGATTACCCAATAAATCCACGCACTTGCGTCAATTTTTTTTATTGCCAATGGAAAACAGCTTAGAAATCTAAGTAGTGTCAGTTGTTGTTGTCAGTGAGTAATGTTGGTGACTGTGACCCACATTGAAAGGCGTAGGTGATGTTGCACGTTCCGCAATCCCTCAAAAGACGCCGCCAAGAAGTGTCGGATCCTGTGAAGGCATCCACGGATACCCTTCAATGGAGTTGAGGCGCATAAATTTCCTCGATTTTTTTTTTCTTCTCTCCTCTTAGCTGTGGTGTTGCCTCTTTGTTTTTGTTTTTTTCACTGGTTTTCGTTATTCGTTTGTCCGAGTTTCGCTTGAGGATTGCGCATTTAGTCAGTGTTTTTTTTTCTTTGATGTTCTTGTCTTTTTTATGTATATTTATTTACCAGTTATCCTGATAATTGATTTTTGGTACCTTTTCATCTCGTTTTCTTTATATTCATCTCGTTTTCTTTATTATTCGAATTATATCTTGCGTTGTCGTTGATTTAAATCAGCGGCACTCCAAGGATGCCTTGAGGATGGGGAAGGCTCTCGATCCGAGGAATTGGGGTTATTTACCACTCGTTCCTCAGGTGCTGTATGACTCCTTCGGATTTAGCGCCTTCCCTGCAAGATTAAAACAGATCAACGAGACTTTGAGTTCGTGTTCAGGTCGGTATCAGTAGTCGGTTTCAGGGGGCACTGTCCCGTGTGTTGATAATAGTATAAAACTACCGACCAGTTATTGATTAAGACACATGCAGTAGCTGGGTATCTTTATTGATGTATTTGATTGAAGCATACGCGAGAAGTTTCATCAATAAAGACACCCAACTGTTGCATGTGTGTCTTAATGGTTGCTGTCCTCTTACCACCCGGTGTTTGACCTGGTCGACTAGGCTGTTGGTGCCAGCATCTTGCTTTGTAGTCACTGACACCGGATTTCCTTGCTGTGTGTTTCGTTCGTTGTTTCTCGTTATATTGGATTTATTTTCATGATCAGTGGGATGTTTGTTACCCGTACCTTATAGTGCAACGGTACAGGGCTCACAGTCAAACGGAACTGGGTTCGAATTAGGGAGAGGCGAGACGTGTGCAGCTCTCGTGGCATCTTCCACCACCTCTTCACCTAGGAGCAAGGTTAGGTAAGGTTTGTCAGGAAATAAAGTGTTTCCTGACATGGATCTTAGTCATATGATGACCACAGCTGGAGCTTTTGGTCATCTGACCGAGGCCTTCCACTGGCTTATCCCTGCACTCATTTAAAAATTATGGTTGTGATTGTAACCATTAAATCCTACTGTGCTAGCAGCAAGTAGATACCTAGGACTGCACTAAGGGTTTATCGCTTCCCCTTGATTATAACAGTGACCCCCTTGACTCTCTTGGGTCATTCCAGGTTAATACGATTTCACTTTACACAAGGTTGACTGAGCCTTGAAGTGTTATTACCTACCTGGAGTATTCCGGGGTCAACGCCTCCGCGGCCCGGTCCATAGCCAGACCTACCAGTGAAGCAGAATCTGATCAACCAGGCTTTTACTGCTGGCCGCACGCAGTCCAACGTATGAACCACAGCCCGGCTGGTCAGGTACTGACTTCAGGAACCTGTCCAGTTTCCTCTTGAAGACAGCTAGGATGTAGATATTGGTAATCTCATTTATAATAATTAATAATAATAATAATTTTTATTTACTACAAGTACATGTACATGGTATACAGGCCTAGCTGACATCATTATAGAAAGCCCCTTGTTATGCAGAGCATTTCGGGCAAATTAGGTCCTTGTCCCAGGATGCGACCCACACCAGCCGACTAACACCCAGGTACCCATTTTACTGATGGGTGAATATAGACAACCAGTGTAAAGAAACACGCCCAATGTTTTCACCCTCGCCGGGAATCGAACCCAGACTCGCCGTGTGAAGTGAGAGCTTCAGCCACCAGGCCACGGGGCACCGTGAAATAGGATGGATCATCATTGACTTGGCATCCCTTGTTATAAAATTTCTCATTATCCAGCTTTTTATTTCCCTTGTAGCTAACTATAAGTGGGGGTTATTCTTTGATTCATCCGTGTTCCTATCCATCCTGTATTGTGGGTTAGACGTGACTTCCTCCAGGATAGATTAGGATAGCTAAACTCGATCAGATTTATTCGGATTGTGGGTTAGGATAGGTTAAACTCGACCAGATTTATTCGGATTGTGGGTTAGGATAGCTAAACTCGACCAGATTTATTCGGATTGTGGGTTAGGATAGCTAAACTCGACCAGATTTATTCGGATTGTGGGTTAGGATAGGTTAAACTCGACCAGATTTATTCGGATTGTGGGTTAGGATAGCTAAACTCGACCAGATTTATTCGGATTGTGGGTTAGGATAGGTTAAACTCGACCAGATTTATTCGGATTGTGGGTTAGGATAGCTAAACTCGACCAGATTTATTCGGATTGTGGGTTAGGATAGGTTAAACTCGACCAGATTTATTCGGGTTGTGGGTTAGGATAGCTAAACTCGACCAGATTTATTCGGGTTGTGGGTTAGGATAGGCTAAACTCGACCAGATTTATTCGGGTTGTGGGTTAGGATAGGTTAAACTCGACCAGATTTATTAGGATTGTGGGTTAGGATAGGTTAAACTACTCAGCCTAATTTATTATTGTTCTTGTATTATCAATTGAATTTAATAACGATATGTGATTAACGAGCCAAACAACGATATCAGGTTAACGAGCCGAGCTGCTGCTTAAGTTAACCATTTATACACCATTTATATCGAGTCTTTCTGCAGTTTTGACACAAGATTTATGCATCCTGACCCTCTGCTTCATTTTACCCCCCCTCACCCCTTTACCCCCTCACTCTTCACCCCCTCTCACCCTTTCCTCCCTCACCCCCTCGTTGTTATCCATCCACATTAATTGAAAATGTTGTCTTAGCAACTCTGACGGTATATGAACTTCACCACCGGTGATGAACGCTAAGATTTTAATGTATAAAACGTTGAGATTTGAACACCTCCCCCCCCCCCCCCCCAAAAAAAAAAAAAACACGTTATAGCATTGCCTGTTTTCCAAAATTTTGAATTTGAACGTTGCCAGTTTTCCTCGGCCACCTCGTTGCCAGACGTATCGCTAACAGTTTTAATTTCCTTCTGTGCCGTTAAATATACTTTTTTTTTTTAAGGTTTGTATAAGCAGCTTAAACCGCAGTGGAAATAAGCCATTTTGACTTTTTTTTGGGGTTATCCTGGATAATTTACGCTATGTATGATAATTGTAATTATGTGTATATGTGCCTAAATAAACTTGTTGTTCACCTAGCAGTAAGTAGGTACCTGGATGCTAGTGGAAATGAGTCACTTTGACATGGCCGCGGGGGCGTTGACCCCTGAAATCCCCTCCAGGTATACTCCAGATACTGATTTATTTTGTGTTATCCTGGTGGATAATTTACACAGGTGCCAAATCAACCAGGCTGTGATGGATATGTGGGGCAACGGGCCTCCAGCACCAACAGCCTGGTTGACCAGGCAAGCACCAGACGAGCCTGGTCCATGGCCGGGCTCAGAGAGTAGTGAAACTCTCGAAACTCTTCAAAGGTACATCAAAGACTTGTATAATTATTTGCGTAACTGTATTTGTGTACCTGTACCTAAACATACGTATCCTAACCCCCAAGGATTGCTAATGAAGGATAATACAATAAAGTCAAATAATGATATTTATTTCGTTTTTTTTTTTAGGTCCTCAGGATGTCACCCATGACAGTCGCTATAATAATAATAGTAATAAATCTATTTCTAGCAGTACGTGATACAACTTATACAGACCATAGCTGACACCTATGACATACTATAATATTAATAATAATAATGTTTATTTCTAGCAGTACTTGATACAACTTATACAGACCATAGCTGAC